CGTTCTATAAACGGTCCGGGCTTGCCCATATGCTAACGGGCTTTAAAAACTTTGTTATGTTTTTATGAAAACAAAGCTTATATAAAATTACAATTTATGTAAAATAATTCAAAATACATAACAATTTTTCAAACTTGAAGTTTGACTTAGATACATAACAGTATACATACTTTAGAAAGAAATTGTTTCGCTAAATATGATAAATCGATAAAAAAAAATGATTAAATGAGATAATAAGGAATTGATCAATTGAGTTAATTATATTTTCAAATTAAGTAGGAATTGATAAGTATTAAGAATTTTCAATTTTATTTATAAATTTTAATTATAAAAATTAATATATTATAAAAATATTAATGTATTTGACGGGCCTGCCCAAATATTTTTTTCCATTGCCCATATCCGCCCATTAATTTTAACAAGTCAATCCAAACCCACCGATTTCTTCGAGAATAGTAATCTAAACCCTTTTTTCTAGTAGGCCGGACAAGACGGGTCTAGCGGGTCATCTCACCCGTGAAACAACTCTAAAATTAAGATAATAATATAGACACTTAGGGGCTGTTTACCAAATACTTACCCAATAAGTGATTACCAATAAAATTTAACATTATTATTTACTTACTAGATAAGATTTTAGTCCACCAAAACAAAATCGCATTCAATAATTTACCTGATCAATGTTTATCGTGGTAAGAGTCGTCGCCCTCACTTACCGGATAATACTCTTGGTCTTTTTCTCGCTCTAATCGGGTAAGATTATTGGTCCTTACCATATTCATCCGGTGAGGTAATGTGACTTGGTAAGCGTTTACCCGAGTAAGCGTTTGGTAAACGACCCCTTAGTCTTTTTATCTATTTGGGTATGAAACTTTGTTGAAGTTTATATAGAGATTTAGTTTATTTTGAGTTTTTCAATGAATAGACGATATGAGAACTCAAAATCATAGTTTCAGGATGATAAAATTGGACTTTATTTACTGATGGTTTTCAATGATTTTGATGTTAAAATACTGCTAATAAGTTTGTTTTATTACAATGGTGGGAAAAAAAACATAAATTAAATCGTCTTTAATAAAATTAATTTTGTAATTTGAAATTTTTTTAATTTAAAGAAATCAAATTATAAAATTATATCTTATTTTATTCACTTTAAATAAAATAAAATACGATTTTATGATTAAATTTTTTAAAATTAAATTTTTAATTGCATTAAAGCATTAAAACCATATC